AGAGAGCGGTTTCTGTCCTCCGTGTCCTCCGGCTTGGGCGGGCGGTGGGTGGGGACAGCGGAGGGCACCGTGTGCCACTGTCCCCCAAAGGGGCGCACGAGGTGACCTCTCCGCCCCCGGGGCACGGCCTCAGCCAGCCAAACACACGTTGCAAAAATGCACATCCACAGGCGACACACCCACACTCACCAACACACACGCAATTTTACCTTCTTCTTGTGGGGAAGATGAAACTCCCGTCGGACACCCGAAGTGCATTGCGTGTTTCTGTTCAGTTTAATGACGATTAATAAATATTTATGTAAATGAGATGCAAAGATGACCGGTTTCTCAAGGTGGTCTCCTTTGAGGTGGGGGACAGGTGGGACTCAGCCGGGGCAGGGGTGATGGAGGCAGAAAGCCAGGTGACTTGCAGAGGCCACAGAGAGTGACCCTGGGCCTTCATGGGGGCTACTTCCATCCCACAGACTCCCAACACCCACTCGGTGAGTGCAGAAAGAAAAAACTGCCCCGCTGCATGGGACCCAAACACACAGGCTCCAAACACAAAGCGTTCGGCAGGTTTTCTTAGACTCATCCTCAACACTTTCCTCCCACCTCATTTTATTTTATTTATTTTTTGAGACAGGGTCACCTTGGCCTTGAACTCACTATGAAGCCCAGGCTGGCCTCGAACTCACAGCGATCCTCCTGCCTCAGCTTCCCCAGTGCTGGCTTCACAGGCTTGCCCCAGCATGCCCGGCCCCACCTCCTTTGAACACAGAGTATCTTTTCCACTACTGAAATGATGATCAAGGTGGGGGGTGGGGAGAGCAGGTCCTTGTGCTACCCTGTGCTCACTGCTCCAAAACAAAAACAAAACAAAACTAAAGGAATAGAAATCAAGAGAACCTTTGGAGCCAGACAGAGATACTTTTCAATTTTAAAAAAATATTAGGTCATGAGGATGAAGGATTGATGGGGAAATGCCTTTTCCAACTTAAATTTGTGTTTCAGGGGAATTGTCTGCTTTAGCGGCAGTTGTGTTGGCATTTTGGGGGAGGGGGAGGGGGAGGCTTCCCAGTGGGGTGCAGAGGGACCAGATGGAATCAGAAGCCTGGGGCTCCACCTGGGCAGCCTGCGGGCCCCAGTCCTGCCTCTTCCTCCTCTGTTCTAGATGGAGGGAACCTCATCCTGGGTTGGGGGCGGATAGGGCACGGGGAGACCCTCTCAATTCTTTCTGTCTGAGCTCCAGAAATAGCTTCACCCTGGGTTCTCTGAGAAGTCCTGCCCCTCCTCTTCCCCAGCTCAGGGCCCATGGAGCCAGGGACTTTTCTGAGAGGAGTCTGAATGCCAAAGACCTGAACCCAAAGCGGGCACCCTGAGGACTCCTCTGAAGGGACTGTTTCTGATCCACTGGATTCTCCAAAAACCCCTTCCCTCATTTTAGGGCCCAGAGGGGTTGTGGTGCTGTTGGGTTCAGATCAGGTGAGTGAACGGTTGGTTAAGGGGTAGTTGAGTCCCCCAGCCCCAAATGAGACCTCCCTGAATGGAGGAGGAAAAAAAAGCACCTCTGAGGAAGGGAGTCCTAATGCCAGAGGGTGGTTTGGGTTGTGCTGGACGTGAGCTCAGTGGCAACCCCGAATGTCCACCCTGAACCCCAGGCCTCTTCGCCCCACCCCAGCCCTGGTGCAGTCTGCCCCCGAGGGACTGACCCTGAGTAGCAGTGCTCGGCTGGCTGCGGAGGGAGGCTGGGTCCTGCCCTGGGTGTGGCAGTGTGGGATCTTCCCCAGAACTCTCTGGAATTCTCCTGCACCTTCCAGAGACTTGCAGAAGTCCCTTCCAAGCATCACCACCTTCTCCGGAATCCTCCAGCCTGTCCCTCTGGAGTGAGACCACAGGCTGAGCCCTCACCACCAGATTGCTGCTAACGGGAGCTTCAAGAGCTCTGAATCACTGAATCACCCTCTTCTCTGGCGAAAGGAGGCGGCTGCCTTTCTTCTCCTCTGCTTCTGGTGGGGTGTGGGGAGAGGATCCGCCCGAGGGCCCTAAGCAGTCCGGTCTGCACACAGTGCGGGCCGGGCCTGGCAGGAGCCTGGAGTGTTAAGGGAGCTCAGCATGAAGCTAAGGCCTAATTCTCCTCTCGCTCTGGAAACGAGGCTAACGGGGCTTCTCCCCCACGCAGCAGGTTTCCCAGAACTTGCAGCGAACTCCGGGGCTGGGGGGGCTCCAGGTGGGAGCGGACCACCCCTCCACGCGGCTCCAGGCCTGGCCACAGACTCCCGAGAGCCAGATTCCACCCCGTCCAGGCTGCCACTGCTGCTGACTCTCAGGCCTTCGGCTGAGTTGGGTGGAGATGCCGGGTCCCTTTTGGGGATGGGTCGGCTCCGGCGGGATCCGGCCCCCTGTGCCAGCTGCCCCTTGCCCGCCCTCCCTGCACTCCGCGCCCTCCTCCCCAACACTTAACTTCCCAGGTGAGTGGGGATGAGCAGGAGAAGAAGATGTGCAGGGACATGCGGCCCCAGACGCCGCTGGGCTGCTCTCCCTCCTGCCTGCGCACACTCAGCTAAGCTCACGGACAGAGGGAGGGGGAGGCGGCCGGCCCAGCGATGGGGGCAGCCGGAGGAGGCTTCAGGGATTGTCCTTCTGGTGGCAGCCGGAGCAGCCAGGTCTCCAAGCTCTCACCAGCCGCTGAGCTCCACCTCGGCCCGCAGAGCTGGAGCTGGGTTCGATCAGGGAGGCGTTTTCCCCTGGATTTTCCAGCCCTGTCCCTTGTCCAGTGTTTGGGAATCTCTGTGATATCTCTGTGTCCAGGCCACTGGCCCATTTGGCAAGAAAGGAAAGCCGGAAAGCTGTTGCTGCCTCTCCCACACCACTGCTTAACTCCAGGCCAGACAGGACCTGGACAGAGAGCCCCTGTCCCCAAGTGAACCCCAGCTCTTCACTAAGGACAACCCAGTAACCACAGGGAGAAGCTGGGCCCTGGGAGGATGGGCGACAGGGACGCCCTGGCACTCCAGTTACTCTGAAAGGCTGTGGCCACTTCTGTTTTTTCCCTTTCCCTGGCAAGCTAGCAGGCCGGTGGCCACAGGATTGGTGGCCGGAGATCAGAGAATTTGATCCCTTCCACACAACTTTGACTCCGTCTCTCCCTCAGAACCTGTAGCGGGAAGTCACCTGCTCCTAGGGGCCTCTGTGGATTTGGGGAGGCACTGGTGACCGGGTTGGTCTGGATTCCATGGTTTAGTTCTCCAGGAAAATAGGGAGGGAGAGAGAGGCCCTGCAGGTTGAACCTGAGCAGCCCACACCATGCCCTGACTTTTCCCAAGGTAGGAGGGACAGACAGGTCCCACCGCTGTCACACAGGCTTCCTGCTCACAGCCCCAACGGCCCTCACTGGCTTCTTCCTTCTGGGCTGGGGCAGCCAGGTGCTGGCCACAGGCCCACACTGCAAGGAACCCTGCCCCCTGCCCTGTTCAGATATCCTGAGCAGCTTCTGCCTCTCCGTCCTCCCTCCTTAACAATTCTTGGCAAAGTTTCCCTAGGTGAGAAGTGGGCACCGCCATGCTGGACAGAGGCTGTTCTGCTAAACTTCTATCCTAAAGCACTGGGCTAGCAGCTCACCTGGGACTGTGGGTGGGAAAGGCAGGCGGAGACCAGGCCTGGCCAGAGCTGGTCTGTCCTAGCCCCTAGGTAAGGGAACCCCTATGTGCCAGCAGTGCCAACGGAGGGAGCCAGGCACAGCTTTGGGTGGAGACAGCCAGATGTGAGTTCCGGGTTTCCTTGCAGGTTTAGGCTGGAGCAGTGTGTGGTCTGCAGGGCTGGCCGGGCCCTAGTTCCACACCCTTAGTGTGTCTGCCCGGGTTCAGTTTGAGTCTCTCTCTCTCTCTCTCTCTCTCTCTCTCTCTCTGTCTTTGGAATTAATTGAATTAGGAACAGGTCTTCCCAGGGCTCTCCCACCTCCCGCCTGAGGCTGCACTGGCCAGGAGGCCAAGGCTGTGAGGTCAGGTCTCGAAGGGGCTGCGGACACCCCCATACCTCCTTGGGGACCCGCGTGCCAGTTCCTACCCTCAGCCAAGTCTTTGCCAAGGGCACAGCTGGGCGGGGTCTGGGCAGTCCGCCCG